TTTTTTTTTTAAAAACAAAAAAAAAGAAAGTTTTTTTTTTGTTTTTTAGGTAATCAATTACGTGAACAAAATTTTATTTCATTACGAAAAGCTTTGTCTCGTACAAGTGAACTTGAATATCGAACCATCAAGTTTATTTTTAAGCATCTTCATTTGTAAGTTCAATAATATGCTGAAAATTCTAAATCTAAGTAAATTTTTTTTTCTAAATGATCTACATGTGATTACATTGAGCTCATCAAGCTATGTATTTTGAAAAATACATCTCTCATTTAGATACACAAAAAGATTCAAAATAACGAGATCATTCTATTATGCACAGGAAAATCTCTTTATTTTAAGAAACAACGACTGAGTTTTCTTTTACTTGTTTCGAGTGTTTTATCCAGCTTTTTTCCTCCGAAGAGGCGAACATTTGTTGCTGAGAGCACAGACACATGTATATGGCACTAGAAGTGCAACTTTTGGGGGTCAAGTCGACCTTTAGATGGGTGCTGCCCCCTCGGCTCCCACGCTGGATAAAACACTACTTAGTTCTAACAATTGTAAACGTATTTTCTTGTAATCGTTGCGAATAATCAACTATAAAAAAGTAATCTTCAACTTGTTGGATTATAACTTGACTGATTATTATCTATATATAACAATTGCCTTCTAAACTCTCTGACCATTTCGATTCTAAAGAAACACGGAAGATACACCATCCAAAAGATAAGAAAAAAGAAAGAAAAACAAAAGACAAAGAAAAGTAGAGAACAAAAGAAATAGACGAAAAGATTACATTATTATCATACTAGAAAGTCCCAGAGAATAATATGAAGCTTCCAAAATTGTTTTTATTTAGCTCTGACATAGATTCTCCCATTCCAAGTGATGACATCCACCTTGTCATTAAACCTAAACTTGACTGATTGTTTTTTCTCTGCATTTGAAGGATCATTCAACCAGGTTGTTACTATAGCTTGTAAGCCTATCGAGTTTTTTTTTTGGGAAGAAGATATGAAATCAAATATGTCATTCGAACCAGTATCAAAGGAGTTACAAACATATAAATCGACTTTTTCAAAAGATTTTTTTATTTAAAAAGAATTAAAGATTTATATAACAAAATAGCAAGATGATATTTATATCTCTCAAAATGTTCTATTTAGTATAGGACAATTTTGTTCCGATAAAAATAAATGTCATATCAGTAATCAGCAAAAAAAAGTGATCTGGATGATATATTTTCTAGTACAAATAATATTCCTCGCCAAAATTATCTATAGTTCCCCTTACCTCTTGTTTTCCCTCTAGGGGACCACAAGAATGTTTTCGTAGGAAAATTAATGGTACCACAAGATACGTAATCTAACTCAATTTTTTTGTCGCCGATCACGGACATGATATTTGTTTTTATCGGAACAAAAATTTCCCATACTAAATAGTACATTTTGAGAGCCAAAAATGTCATCTTGCCATTTTGTTATATAAATCTTTAGTTTTCTCAATTAAACGAAATGTTTTTAAAAAGTTAATTCATACATCTGTAACTCCTTGAATACTTGTTCGAATCACATATTAAATTGATTTCACATCTTGTCAAAAAAAACCAAGAGAGGCTTACAAGCTACACTAGTAACATGGCTGAATGATCCTTCCAATACAGACAAAAAAACAATCAGTCAAGTTATATTTCAACAAGACGAAAATTACTTTTTTAAAGTCAATTATTCGTAACGATTAAAACAAAATTCGTTTACAATTGTTAGAATCAAGCAGTGTTTTATCCAACGTGGAAGTCAAGGAAGTGGCACCTAGAACCTGTCGAGTTCAAAATTTTCGGATCCGAATCCGACGAACTCTAGTGGTGCCCCTTCAAAGGTCGAGTGAGTCTTCATGGTGTTTTGTAGTTCTTGTGCTCTGTACTATGTGTCTATACTCTCAACAATAGGTGTTTGCCCTCTGAGAGTTTTAAATCGCTTCTCGAAAAGAGAAAATCTGGATTAAACGGTGGAAGCAAGTAAAAGAAAAGTTAGTTATTGTTTCTTAAAATAAAGCGACTTTCCTAGACAATAGGATGATTTCAGTATTTTGAATGTTTTTTGTGTACATAAAGGAGAGAGACATTTTTACTGATGAGCTCTATCTAAACATATATAAATCAATCGACAAAAAAAAAACATTTTGCTTAAGTTTTGAATCTTCACTACATTCGATAATTTTTTTAATTCAAGAAAAAAAAAATTTTCTTCTCTTCAGTGTTTCACAACATGCTGCTTCGACTCATATGGATTCATCAAATTTAGCTGTTTTATGGTGGCCAAATTTATTTCAACCACAATTTCGAGATTTACGTACAGCTGAACAAACATGTCAACAAGCGAAACCATTAATTCAAGCAATTATTGACAATTATTCAATAATCTTCTCTTCGGATGAAATAAAATGAAAAAAAATCAAACAAAATATAACATTTTTATCAAATTGTTATGTTTTTGTTTATTGGTATGTTTTCAATCTAGTCAGCAGCGGGTGCTTCCGTGTTGTGATTTTGTATGTTGAACAAATTCTATTTGTTTTTGTTCTTTATTGAGAATCATTTGTGTGTATTTGCTAGTCGTTATTTCTATTCCATACAGCAAATTAAGAAAAACTCGTTTGTTCTTTTTTTGTAATTAGAACAGTAGCCATGTGTTTTTGCTTCATTTTCCGTTTCGTATCTGTCTACGTATATATGTACATAAGAAACAAATCGTGTATTTTGTACATGCTTTTCTTTTTGTTTTTTCTGTCTCTCTGTCTCTCTCTCTCTCTCTCTCATGCAACTAACAGTATCATCTTGATTCTTATTGCTACTAAAGCATATAAACAAGAATTCCAAACGAACGATTAACTTGTTTGTATACATATATTAAAAAAAAAAGATGCGTGAATGTACGCGCAATGTTTGTTTTGTTTTGTTTTTTTTTCTTTGTTTTTTTTCTTATTGATGTTGTCTATTTTCGATGTGTCTTTCTTTTCTTTCGTATAAAGTCGAATAAAAAAAAAAAAGAAAAACCAGAAGCAAGAAATTTTTATTTTAAAGATATATTTGATTTTGGTACAGGAATTTTTTCATCAGCAAAACGAAATAAAGAACGATCAGCTGTTTGATTATTAAATGGAGCAAAAAATTCAGTTGCATATTCGATTATATTTTCAGGTTTCATAATTAAAACTGATTGAAGAAAATCGGATAAAAGTGCATTTATATCCGGATGATGATAAATATATGACTTGTAATCATCAATTAATTCTTCCTAAAAGATAACAAAAAATATTTGATTTGTATTTCATATTCAAAGTAATAAGTAAGAGTTTTAGCTATGAAATTTATGAGTGTCTATAAAGTAGTGTATTTTTATTCATTACGTAACATATAAAGAATAAACTTATTACTATGTAAGGGTAAAAATACTTGACCGTTCTACTGATCTAACTTCAATTACGACGGAGTCAGATTTCGGAGTCCAATGCAAGGCTCTACTAGGGAGCACTGACCTACAAGTAATGATTAATGATGAATTTTTTTACTTACGCGTCGATCGATAAATCTCGAACGTAATTCTAAATCATCTTCCCATTTAATTTCTTTTTTAGGAATTTCTGGTTTGGGTAAAAATTCATCTATTGAAATAAAAAAAAATTGAAAGAGAAAATTTCATAAACAAAAATGAAATTTTTCTTATAAATTTTACCAAATTCTTCTGCTGTAGGTAATGTTCTTGTTTTCATTTTAATCGGCGAACCAACTTGATATCGAGAGATGAGATGTCTATTAATATATAGATATAATCAATACTATTAGAAATCTAAAATCTTTACCCATCAATACTAAAATAACTTTGCCATGCAACTGGTAATGCATTTGGTTTTGTTTCAAATATTTGTCGTTGTATACCCCATCCTTCAATATCTTTTCCATTAATATTAACTTGTTGTGGACCGAGTGATGTCTATTGAAAAATAAATAATTATTTTCATAAGAAAAAGATTTTTATTTACATAAACATTTCGACTTAATTCAGATGATGAATCAAGTGAAAGTAATGTGACTTTTTCCGGCATATTACGTTGAATCATTAAACGTTGAAGTATAAGATTAGCACCTAGTAAAGAATACATTATCTTATCAATCAAAGTAAAATACATTGTTTATTTTTTTTTTACCTTCTAAAATAAGTCCATGTGCTTGATTTTTTGGAATACGTTTTGTTTCTGTTGTTTTTTTCTAAAAGACAAATATTAAATGTATATTAAATCATCTAACAGATAGTTTTTAACAAACTTTTCCTTCTTCATTAGTTATTGTAATAACATAATCTGTTGACTCAGAAATAAAATCAACAATTCGTGTAATAGGACTCGGCAACTAAATTAATGCATAGATATCTTTTGTCATAATTCTTTCTTTTGATTGACATACTTTGACATATTCTGTATGTTCTTGTTGTACAGTAACAAGTTCTTTTGTCACCACTGCTCGTACTGTTGTTCCACAAGCAACACCATCAATAGTTGCTTGACTAAAACCGTAACAACAAGACATCATTTTATTATTTATTTAAATAATTTTCAATAAACCTATTAGCAATAACTTGAATACAATCATCAAGATTACCATAATTTGTTTTTGTTAATTTAACTTCAAATGATCCAACATCTGTATTATTTGTTAATGAACAAATCAATGTGTCATCATATAAAATTGAATTTATATCATAGTTAACTATGAAACGATAAATTTTTTCAATGATATAAATTACTCTCAAATCAATTACCTAAACTACGTAAATATTCAAGAGAACTATTCTCTGCAGATACCATCACTATAAATTAAACGAACTATTACTTTTCATACCATTCACACAAAATTATAACAGTTTCTTAGACAATAACCTCTTTTCAATAAAACATTTTTTTTTTCAAGACCAGTGATAGATGTCTCTCTATCAAGTAAAAATTCTTTTATTTTTAATTTAACATGCATATGAAGTACATATTTTACGTTCACGAAATAGATGTAAATGATCTGTAAATATATAAATAGTAACTGCACCAATTAATGAACCTATTTGTGTTAATACACCAAACCAAAATAAACCACGATGACCAGATTTACGCCGAAAATAATTACCAAGTAAAACACGAATAAAATATAATATACAATATTTCAATATCCAACTCAAAGCGATTATAACTCGACCAATAAATTGATCAACTAATGGTGAACAGGGTGAAAGTTTGGCAGCAATAAATGTATATGCAAAAAAACCAGTACCAATAATGGTAAGAATATATATGTAACGAGAACGCAAACTTGGAACTAATACACCAAGAAATGACATGAGAGGATATGCAAATTGACAAGCTATTATTGTATGATGATAAACTTCGATTGAATAAGGATAAAGAGAAAAGCCTATAAATAATTTTTTTTATTAAAAAAAAAAAAACGAATATTGAAATTAGAAATAAAATAAAATATAATTACTTTGTATACTTGGAGTAGCACCTAAATAAAAGAATTCATATGAGAAGATGAAACAAAAAAAAATATTTGATTAATTTTACCAATAATAAGAATACTTGTCCAAAAACATAGAAATAAATATATTCCATGTTCTGAAAGCCAAAATTCTTTTCTGGTCATTTTGCATTCAGTTTCTAACGCATCCCTATGTTCAATAATGTCTAAATTAATATCAGTCTTTTCGATTGTACTTAATTCAATAACTGGTCTATCATCTCTAAAATAAAATAACTTTTAAATAATAATGAAAAACAAAAATATGAATGCAAACTTTAAAATCGAAGATTCCTGCGGTTGTATATCTTTTTTTCGACCCATTCGTGTCAGACAAAGAGTAATAAATGAAATAAGTGATGCTAACATAATAACTGATAATGCTAAAAAATATGTCCGAACAGAAAATCGTGCTGGAGAATTATATTCAACTAATTTTCCATCTTCATTTTCTATACATGATGTTTGACCTACACCTTGTGCTATGCCTAATAATGCTGGAAATAAACTAGAAAGTGCTTCACCAAGAAAATAAGCATTAATATAAACTGGTTCATAACGATCAAGAAATGGTAAAAATGTTACACTTGATGTACAATCAACAAGTGATAATGTTAATGAAAATCCCATTAAATAAGTTGAATGTGGATTTCCATTAATTATAGTTGTTTTATTCCATACAAAAGCAAGAATAACAAGAACAACAGTACCTGTTGTTAATATAAATATATTTACAGGAATTTCATAAGTAACACCACCATGAGAAAGTCGTCGAACAACAGCAATAATCACTACACCAATATTAGCTAGATTGGCAACAAGACCCATCGTAGCTGGTAAGTGCCATCCTTCAGGTAATTGATCGACAATTAATGGAAATTCAATCCATACACCAGATAGATTAAGCCATGAACCAACAACAAATAGAACAACAAGTGTAGAGACAAGTATAGTCGTACACTGTGGCCTAGTCCACATCACTTGTTTGTAACTAATACAAAATACATGTAGAATAATCTATTATGAAAAGTTGAAATGACCTTTTATTTTTTTATAATGAGAATTTTATCTATGATAATGTGGAAAGATGTTTATATTTGTGCTTTTATATTTTGTATGTTAAGGTTAAAAATCGATGATACAACATCATATAGAACGAAAGAAAAAATAGGCACTCATTCACAATGTAGTCAAATAAGATGATTCTTATCATTCTATTATTATTACTAAAAATCTAACAAATTAATATGTTTTATTTCTGCGTAATACTAACTAATAGTCCATAGTTTACTGCTTTGAAAATCAAATATACTTCTATTTCCACATCACTTTGATTACGCATATTATTGTCAAGAATATTCTTTTAAGTTTTTCTATATCAGACTTTTCAAAACAATTGCATCTAATTAAATAAGTGATTGTAGAAAAAAATGATTTTCTTTCTCATAATCTTATCGTTTGACAAAAAAAAAACAACTATTAAGAAATATTTAACTTACATTTTTTCTAAACTAATCGACCGAAAATTAACTATATAAATAATCCTGTTTACTTGAGTTTAAATAACAAAAACCACAGTTTACAAGTAATTGATGGGTTTGTATTAGCTAGGGGATGCAATAGTGACAATCATTCACCGCTCCGAACTGACAACCACCATACATCAGTAACCGTTCTACCGATAGACTGTATTAATCGGTCTATAGTAGTCACCAGCATACATCGATTTTCATGTGTATATCGATGAATGTCGGTGTATAGTATACAAGGATACTCACCGGTGTGCAGCAATGTATATTCACATGTATACCAATGAATATCAATGCATACCGGTGAGTATCCTTGTATATTATATATCGATATGCACCGATGCTTCTTTATATTCATCAATACACACTGAAATTCACCAATATTAACCGGTATACACATGAATATTGGTGCATATGAGTGAATATAGATGACTACTATTTACCCATTAGTGTGGGTCATCGGTCGACTATTTATCGGTTGACCGGTTATCGTCACCGTTACATTCCTATTATTGACTTGTCATTTGGCGATATTCTTATGAGCATTAGTCCATATGAGTGACCTATGGGTTGAAAATATTTATATTTGCAATCAAGTGCAAAAAAATAATGCTTGGTTTTTTTAATACATAATGAATTATTGACATTAGTCATAGAACTCGATGAGAAAATGGCATATGCAGTGGGAGTAGAGATTAGCGTAATCACTATTTTTTGGTTATAGTCACAAAAGTTCTATTGAATATATTAATGTGATCTGTTACAAGACAACTATCCATAATTGTAATTTGTTATTGTTGATGGTAGATCAGTTAAGGCTATTATTTCTTCCAATGTGTTCTCATTATTGGTCATATTCTACTCGAATATTTCACTCTTAGGACATCTGATTTAATTACAATAAAATTATACAGAAAAAGTATAAGTTGAATAATAAACGATTGATATAGTTCAATATCTTCGACTTGTAGCAGACGAAAAGTTGCCAACAAACTTAGTCTTCTAATTATTTTGATTACATATTTTTCTCCAACAACAACTTCGAACACAGTTTAGATATGGTTTATCTTGAACGTCGTAATTGTACGAGAATGTCAAGTGATTAGAATAATTCCTTTTTTGGTATAATGAAAGTATATCTCTTTGACACGCAAATGACACATTATTTGAATGCCACGAAGAACAACATATTTTCATTCTATGAATATTAAATTAGATTCTTGTTCTGAGATCTAAGGAAAAAAAGGATATCAAATACTAATAATCTAATTGATGACAAATATTGATACTCAACGTATATGGATCAATATCGGGCAATTCTGCGACGAGAAATGTTGAAAATAAAAGTTTGTTCATTTACTTTCGTAACATACTCCGAAATAATCATCAGTAAACCGGCTTCAATCTACTTGTTCAATTAAGAAAAAGAAGGCTTTTCACATGATAAATTGAATGCTAGTTCGGCATCTGTTATCCTTAAGTGAAAAGAAATACAAGCATTTAATAAAAATAAGATGAATATAGAAAAAAACATCTGAAAACTTAAACTATAGCCATCAGAATTCATGAAAACTAATTAAACAGAGGAAGAATCAATTGGATCTCAAAAATTCAGGTACGAAAGAAGAAAGTGTATTTATGATCTTGGCATTATGGCATACTTCAGTCCATACTAATAAATTTCTTCATCTCTTCATGAATTCTAGAATAGATTTATCAAGATTTATCAAAAGTTAACAGGATTTACTAAAATTCATCGACGTGTACCGAAGTCAGCTGTGATTGGAAATCATAAGATCCGATTCTATTTTTTATTGATTGTTTATTGAGGATCGCACTAGATCCTAGTGGTTTCAGTAATTATTGGAACCCAAGATAATGCACATTTTCTTCCTTGAAGTAAAATTATAATGAGCTTTGATGGATTTTAGTAGATTTTAGTAAATTTTAATGAACCTGATTGATTTTTGTGATTTTTTGGCATATTCTAATAAATCCTGATGAACTTCAAAATACTCCGATGAGTTTACTGTGACAACCTTCAGGATCTAGATTCCATTTATTCTCATTTGCATCTCCGTGCATAATCTTTTTAAAAGCTAAAAAAAAACAATCATCCAGTTATGAGCGGTAGAATGAAGTCGATTGATGATTCTCTAATAAAGTGCAATGTTCTCAATAAGAGCGTCAATGCAAAAGTTGACTCAAATTAGAACGCACCAGTATAAATGCATAGAAAAACGTTTTTCTATGCATTTATACTGGTGCGTTCTAATTTGAGTCAACTTTTGCATTGACGCTCTTATTGAGAACATTGCACTTTATTAGAGAATCATCAATCGACTTCATTCTACCGCTCATAACTGGATGATTTTTTTTTAGCTTTTAAAAAGATTCTTTTATCAATCGGTAGACAAGACACGTGCCTACTCAG